TTTTCTGTTGCCACAACATTTTTGAGTAGCACCAATCAATGCGAATATTTTTGACTTTTGTATTATATTATTATTAGTAAAACCACGCCCAGTTTGCCTTAAAATAAAAAAAATATTACTATAGGATATAGTCGTCCGATATTCCCAATTTTTGTATAATATATTTATCATATTTTTATAGACTTTTGGTGAAAATTTCAAAACGATATCTCAACTAAAAGTATTTATGGCCGCGGCTCCCATACAAGTCAAACCACTGTGCTGTGCATTGTTTTTAAAACTTGAAGTAAATTCGTTTCTCACAGTACTTCACAAAACTAGATTATTATACACTGCGCGTCACCAGCTTAGCACACCTTCATTAGCCTAAATCAATTGCTTCTGATTTTTTGTTATTAATTTTCACTTTATTGTTTACTGATTTTCTCATCTTTGTATGAATAATATAACATATTATAAATAAAAATAAACATTAGAAAAACAAAATCTTTGTATGAACAATCACTGGTAAATAAATAATGCGATAAGAATGTACCGTTATAATGTTTTTACTATTTTTTTGCTCTTTTTATTATCATCATTTTATCAAAATTATGCGTTAATAATCGCTACTAATTTTAGAATTACAGGTTCTTTAGTTTCGATAGAAATTAACCAAAACTATGTAAACCTGAAGTGTGCTAATCTGATGAAGCGCAATATATCTGTTGATTAGATTTAGGTATTAGAAACAACCGTTAGGTGAACAAAACTACCATATGCAACATATTGCAAGAGTATAAAAAAGAGAACAAAGAAAAGAGAAAAAAAATATTCTCTTTGAATATCTGCGCCACAGAGCACTGGAGGACAAATGAGTCGTCAGCGAGTGCAGTAAGAAAATAAATTGGTTTTCCCCACGCGTCAGCATTTGCAGTCGAAAACCTTACAACAACAACAACTAGTCAATACCAGGAAATTCATGTTAGCAGCGAGCGAGCGCTACTGCCTAACACCCACACTATATGAAAATCCTTCGGCGCGCCATTGCTTTCACTCAATGAAACCGGGACATCGGCACATTGATAGCGTGGCGTGAATGGCGTAAGATATGCGCCAAACAGCGGCCGGGAACAAGAAAACAAAATACAAAAAATCCCTGCAAATTCATTGAGCGTGTCTCCCATAAGCCCGGTTGATACAAATGTATGCAAATATATGTATGAACTAGTATGTATGTATGTATGTATGTATGTATATATTTAATATTTATGTTTGCATCTATAGTTGCATAGACAGCATTGAATGGACGTGGCTAAAGTGTGGGTAGAGAACACTCAAGTCTTTTGCTTATTAGGAACACGTTGAATGAAATGGTGAAACTTGCGTCAACTTTCGAGGAAAAATCACCTTTTACCAAAAGGCGGAAGCATAGAAATCATATGGCAGAAATATTGGTTCGTTGAAAAACTGCTAAAGATATTTTAAGGGGTAATATTCGAAATATTTCCTGAACACATTGACTAACTATAACGAATAGAGGTGACGGTGGACTCAAGGACTAGACTTTAAAATTCCAGGTTCACTTCGACTTAAATTATTTTAATCGACTACTAATCGATTATTATGCAGTTTGTTCTAATTTTAAAGTTGAGATTTCATGTACAGTCACTCACATTGAAAGTCGGGCAAAAACTAAGTAAAATTTGAACTTATAATAAATTTCGAATGAAAAAAGATATACTCATATTTTTTATTTTATTACAAGAAGTCCTAAAGTTAGAAAACAATAAAAATATATAAGTATACAAAGTAACGTAAAATTAAGCCCATGGAGCAAAAACCGAGCAAGGCTACTTTTTCGCCTCACATTGAAAGTCGAGCAAACTGTATTTCTCACCGTACCGTATTTAACGGTAAATATTATTTTATATCTATTCGAAGTTTTATTATAAGCCTAAATATATATTTGTCATTTGAGCATCTTAAGTCAGTCAGTGAAGTTTAAGGGAGTATTTTTTTAAAATGTCGCGAAATATGAAACAGTCTACTTTGGATGAACGCAATCAGTCATACCTACATCACCATTTACAAAAAAAAAAAAACGGAGCGTGACATAGCAAATTTAGTTAAGAAAAGCAGCAAAGATATAATCGAAATGGAAGGATAGATAAGGAATTGTCCACCAGAGATGTAAACTTTGTTTTACGAGAAATAAAGCAAAGACCTTTTACTTCTGCTCCCAAAATTGCTACAATGATCGAAGAATCTTCAGGAACTAAGGAGATAAAGTGTGGCGTAAGTTGTATGGCACCTTCAGGAGTTGGAAACTTAAATTTGGTGAAGATGGCGTAATGAATAAACATATACTATATATGGCGATTTTAAAAAACAATTTGAAAGAAAGCGTGCAAAAACTTGATATTGAAGACAACTTTCAGTTTTTTAAGGTCGTTGTCCAAAACATACGGCGCTTGATGTAAGAAGTTGGTTGTTGTATAACTGCCCAAAAGTTATCAAGAGTTCTGCACAAAGTCCCGACCTTAATGTAATTGAGCATTTATGGGACGAATTACGACGCAGGATGCTAAACAGGATGTGCACATCGAAGGACCAGTTGAAGAATGCATTACAAGAGGAGTGGAACAAAATTATTCCGAATGTAATGCAAAAATCTGGTTGAATCAATGCCAAGAAGACTGCAAGCAGTAGAAAATCAAAAGGGTGGCGCGACAAAATATTAAAAATTAATTAAAGTTTAAAAAACTAAAAAAAAAAAACCCTTTAAAGGAATTTTTAAACCTCCTCCTATAAAGCTCAGCCCTCCCATCTTATTTCTGAAAATTAATGCTTATGTTTTCTTTATTGCCTTCAGTTCATTTACAAACGATGTCGAAAGGGTAACAGGTATAAAAGAAAAGTTAACTATAAATCGAGAAATTGTATTATAATAATTGTAATTGCATATTCGTGATCTGGAGAATCTCCTCTATCCAACCATACGCATTTTAACCCTGAAATCGTAGGATGGTATACCGGGGGCCTAAACTATACATTTACCATATATAGCTATATATTCGGTAAATGTATAGTTTAGGTCCCCCAATTAAGTAGGCCTAGAAAATGCGTCTTATTTTTACGCGTAGATTACAAATCCGTGAGCGGAAAGTGAATTTTTACAATATTTCGATTTTTTTTTTATTTTTTCAAAAAAAAAACGTTTTTAATTTAAAAAAAAAAATCAAAAAAAAAATTTTTTTTTTTATTCTGTATGAATATGCATTTAAAATAAAATATGGTGAAACGTTTCAGTTAATTGTTTAATTTTTTCTTGGAAAAAATCACATATTGTTCAAGTTTTTTGGTGTATTTATTTACTCTTCTTCTTCATAAACGTTTCTGAAAATATATATTAAAATATGAATGTAGTGCACTTTTATTGTGATATTGATGATTACACATACTCTGCATCGTGATGAAAATTATCAACTAGGTTGAGAGCAGCGAAAAGGAGTTTGACGCGATTGAATTATGAACAACCCGGTTTTTGACCGACCAGGGTTATTTTTTTGAAGGCCGCCAGTGCGGAAAGGAGTTCGACGATCTCCGATATTCGTCCGTACTATCACATCGCGGCGCAAAAAAAAGTGTGACTTACATTTCTTCAGTATATTTTTTTCATAAGAAAATGTTTAACACGTTGAACTGGTAATACAGCTAAGTAATCTTAATTCTACAAAATTTTGCCGCTACAACAACAACAACAACTAAGTGACTTGAATATGTGATATGAGCAAAGTGTGTTAATATTATAAATTTTGAAAAATATACATAAATTATTGAAAAATTCACTTTACGCTCACGGATTTGTAATCTACGCGTAAAAATAAAACGATTTAAAAAAAAAATTTAGTTTTGAGGCCTCCTTAGTTAGGGGACCTAAACTATACATTTACCATATATTCTTCATCAGACAAATTCGGCAGATGCTGATCTAAATTCCGGGAAAAATTTGGTATAACGTCCCAGGCTTTCGGGGCGGATAGAGGAGATCCTCCAGATCAAGAATATATATAGATATAGCTGCGGGAAACATATAGTTTTCGAGATATTTGCGTTTAAAGTTCAAAATTTCGACTATTTAAAGTACGCATTTTTTCGATTTCAAATGAATTATACACTTATATTTTCCACTAACACTTCACTAATTCGTTTGTACACATTTATTTTACATTATATAGTGCAAAAATAGTTTAATTCAATAATTAAATTATTGTTAAATTCTATTAATTCTGACAATAACAAAAGGGTTGCAAAATTTCAAATAACCAGTGTTACCTTATCGACATCTTTTGTAATTGAACTGAAAGAAATTAAAACAGATAATACCCCAAATACAGGAATCCAAAACCTAGAGAAATAAACTATTACAAAGCATTGATGTTAAGTATTATGTTATACCCTCTATGACAATATTACTTTTTCTAGTAGAACTTCTTTTTGCGTTGGCGGCCTTTGTATAAGTGTATAATTCATTTTAAATCGCAAAAATACATACTTTAAATAGTCGAAATTTTCAACTCTAAACGTAAATATCTCGAAAACTATAAGTTTTCCGGGGCTATATCTATGTATATATATTCTTGATCTGGAGGATCTCCTCTATCCGCCCATACCCATTTTATCCCCGAAAGCCTGGGACGTTATTCTCAAGCCGACCCTTAATTCCAGTCAAACTTTTTCGACCCTAAATTCCAGTCAAACTTTCCCGCTAAACATATTCTCGAAAAATATTTTCCGATACTTTTTCATGAGGCAGCAATTGACTTATAACTTCATAGCCGACGGGCTAAGATAGTACATAACATGAGCAAACAAATAAAAGCAATATTTAAAAATAACAGAAGTAATTAATTAGATTGTCAGTGTTGTTGATTTTTTATATAATACTCTGCTTTTAAATATAATAAATATATCCTAAATTAGGTTAATATGTTGATAATTTCGTTTGGTATACTTACACATTGGTGTTGGCCCGTGCACAATTTGATTCCCCCAGTGCTGCACTAGCTTAACCCATAAGTTGCATTATGTCGGATTATGCTATGCAAATAATCATTTGCAATTAGACCGTCACTGCTTTTATTTTTACTTTAAAACCTTGTTTGACAATTTTTTGTAAACGCTTTGCTGATTTTTATTTATATTCTAAACTATGCTTTGTGTATTCCTTCCTTTGTTCTAGCGATCCCAAATGCTTTCACAAATGAAACTGCTTGCTTTTCGTTTTCGCTGTTATCAACTCGAAACAACTTTATAATTTTTCAACAACAGTTTCACAAAATAAACCAAAATGTAACTCTGGGCTGATTTGGTACAATGTGAAAACTTGTCAAGTACGACTTCGCGAAAGACCGAGAACTATTTACGTCTATGTTACGAAATTTATTTATACAAACGTTTTGCCAGATATTCGCACATACATTAGCGTATATATGTTTGAATTCGAGTGCATACAGCCCGGTATGTCGCAGTTTGGTTACTTTTCATATTTTTCTACGCACTACTTATATTTTTATTAATATACATCAAACTTTATTTTAGTAAATTCACGCAAACGACGCGTACACGCGACACGTTCACCAACACTCAACGACGATTCGACAAAACTGTGAAGAATTTAGCACAAATACGCAGAGATGTATTTGCATGGTACTGAAAAATTTAATTGTACTGTGATATAAACTTTAATCCATACACAGCGATATTTAAACATTATTGAACCAAAAAACTTTTATTGTACTTTCAAAAATAATTAATGGTTTCAGTAAATATTTATTTACTTTATCAAATAAATATTTACCAAACACTAACTTACATCATAAACGTATAACAATTTCAACACAAAGTAATTTTATACCAAACAACCCTAACACGCGAGGATCGAAAAATTTTATCTCACTAGACCTATCTCGTTTGCGCTTAATACACTGATTATCGTGAACAATATCGCCATCTCTTCTCCAATATGTTAACCAACTTCAGCTAACTTTAAGGTTTGTAATACACTGTGAAAAATTTAAAGATAGATCACAAAATACATATAAAATATAACTCATTATGATCTTGGTATTCTGAATAAGTTATATATTTCTTTTGCGACGCCTTCAGTCGCGCATCAAAAAAAATAAACCTGGTCGTCCCAAAACCGCGGTGTTCATACTTCAATCGCTTCAAACTCCTTTCACAATCGACTCTAATTAATACATTTCTATTAACTATCATACAATTTTATTATTTGTATTTATACCCTTTTCTCCTATTCGAAACATCGAGATTTAACGGGTTAAGTTGTTTATTTACCAGCTGTTTGCATTGTAATTCATTACTATTTGTGGTTTTGTGCGAAACACTAAAGGGATGTGTTTACAAATTTAAATTTCAATTCTTATGGAAATGTCCCGTAGAAGTCAAGACATTCCTATCCGACCACGCTATGGTATACCAGACACAACAGATGATGACAATATCAGCCCAATAGAGCGCACAAAGCAAAGGACTAGAAAGACTCCAACAAGCGCTATGGAACCTTCATCATACAGTGAAATTCCTTTTCTTGCACAATATCCAGATATGGATATTTCCCCACAAGATATACAACGTGTTAGTGCAGAAGTTGACAAAACCGAACGAAACATTATTGGAGAACCAGGTGTTGAATATGACGATGAGGATGACAACTCAAACTCCAAAGACAGTTCATACGAGGATAATAAAACACCTATGCGACCGAATTCATTGCACTGCGATTCGTGTAAAACCTTTAGGAACTGAAATATTGATTTTTCTAAGTAACATATTTACTATTACAGCTTTTCCTTATGAATTGGAGGGGGCGACCAGTACCGATGGCGAAATGCGACACTTTGTAGCCGATAATCTAGAGGAAAAAATACGGAGTGGTAAGTGTAAATAAATTAATGTTTTTTATTCATTTATTAATTTTGTGCTATTCAGATCAACAGAGTTATGCTTCACATAATAGCACACCGTCAGTCGCCAATGCGAGCGGGGGCTTACTTACGCGTCGTTTCTTACAAACTCAACGGCCTCAAATCGATGCGAATGTTTTAAATGACATTGAAATCGAAGCACAATATTTGGCTGCATCCGTAGATAATTTGATGGAAAACCTGTGCAATTTGTTGCATTCAGTAAGTAAATTTTAAGTATTTAAATTTTTTTTTTGTAATATCGGTTGCTTAGATATCTTCTATTACTGCTGATAACGTGGAGGTGCATAAAAATGCAGTAAATAAACTTACTGACAGTATGGATGCTAATATTAAATGCATGTACACCATTATGGCAAAAACAGAGGAAATTACTAAGTCCATGAAGCCAACAGAGCAGCTAGGACAAAGAATGTAAGCAACCTGCTAATATACGACTATTTTGACTACATTGTTTGTTTAATTTTAGTCGAGAAATTAAGCGCCTTGTGGATATGCTCGATGGCACTATGTAGGACCAACCGTTGGTGGTAAATGGTAATTTACCGAAAACCGCCTGTCCCCTTATTTAATTATACACACTTTGAATTAGTATAAACAAGTTATTAGAGTTATTATAAAAATGAATATCTAAACTACATATTTGCATATAATATAAAATAGTTGTATGTAGATTTAGTATTTTTCTACTTTCGCTTTAACTATTCGCACACTATCTACCGGGCGATCATTTTTATCAGTCTCCGCCATGCCAATACGCTTTACAACCTGCATTCCTGAATATACCCGTCCGAATATTGTGTGCTTTCCATCTAACCACTGCGTAGGAGCTAATGTGATGAAGAATTGCGAACCATTTGTGTCAGGCCCAGAGTTGGCCATTGATAATATACCTGCACCGGTATGCTTAAGGTCTGAGTGAATTTCATCAGAAAATTCGTTGCCATATATTGAAGTGCCGCCACGACCGGTGCCAGTTGGATCGCCGCCTTGAATCATAAAGTCACGGATAATCCGATGGAAAACTACATTGTTATAGTAACCACGACGTGATAGTTCAGCGAAATTGCGGCAGGTATTGGGCGCATGCTTCCAGTAAAGTTCGACTGTAATTTCGCCCATGCTATATCACAATTATAAATGCACGCTTAATATTAACATAATATTTATAAAATAATGTTAGTATAATTGTACTTACGTCGTTTCAAGTGTTACAAAATGTGGCTGCCATGCCTTGTCGGGAATACCAGAACCAGTTGCAGCTGTATTACTCGTCGTAGCTAACATTTTTACTTATTATATGGAAAGTGTTTATTTTAATATTTCGAATGGAAAAGTATGACAAATAAAAGTAAAATCAAACAAATCACTGTCACAATTGCAACTTGCCAGACTGAGACTGCCTAAACCTTTCCTTATATGAAACAAAATTACTTGTAATTCTTTTTCAGTCATTTATAACTAAAATTTTTCCTGAGAAAATTTCAGTTTTTATTGCCGAATTTATTATTACACTTAGTATACGTAGTAAGAAACCTGCAGAGCATATGTACATTAATTATATTAATAATTACGCTTATACCTTTTACACCAGTTGTCACGTGCAGAGGTCGCTGTAGTTTGTATTTACGAGCAATTCGTTTTGTTTGGAATTCTCGAATATTGTGACAAGGGGAATGTCAAAATCATTTGCTTTGCTCATAACTTTATTTCATTCATCAACTTTCTTCTTATGCGTAAAGTTTAGTTTGCGGAAAAATAACATTGAACTTCGGGAGCAAATATATACTTCGACAAAAGTAACAAATTGAATTGTTTTGTAATTTCGTGTAAATTTCTTATTGCAATCTGTTATTTTAAGTGCTTATGTGCAATAAATATCTATGATCAACAAAATGTGGGTTTTTTCTTGGTCAGTTTTTTAAGGCACGAGACATAAAGAAACGTAGAAGAAGACGTAAGTGTAAGAAGTGAGATTCAAGTGAAAAACAAGAATGCTTCAAGAAAGCGTAGGAAGCGATGATTCTGTTATTATTTTTTGCGTTTATATTGCAAATGTTTGTTTTTTCTAAATTTATAATTTTTGTAAACTAGTTCATTTTTGCTAGAGCGATGAAAAAAATTGCTACAATTTCCAAATGAAAGGGCAGGTTACTGCTTTAGTGTCAGCTGTGTTTCCACAACCTAAGTGAAGAGGCAGACAAGAAACTCATAGAACCCTTTTCATAACCCGCAGTACTAATGTAATATTTGGAAGTGTATAATATGCGCGAGATCCTATTCCTCATTAATGCATAACATTTAATACTGATAAGGGCGGAGCGTACAAGTGCGGGTGGTAAATGAGTGTCGGCAAAAGTTACGGTAAGCGAGAGTGATTCCGAAGAAAAGTGAAAGTCGAATTCATGAAATAGTAATCACCGACAGTGCACCTAGGAATGCAAGTAGATTTGTATATGTACACTGCAGTATATGTATGTATGCTGCATATCATTATATATATTTTGCATGTTTAATTATGGTACTTCAATTGACAACCAAATTTGTAAATTAAATTCTCTTCTCCAAAGCAATAAGTCGACAGTGGTGGATAATTTCATTTGACAAATGCGGTGAAGGTCAATAATTGTGTGTAGTTAACTATGAAAACAAATATATTTATATATAATGTGAATACCTTAGTATGAGGATGAATTTAATAATGTTTTAATTGAGTTGTTTAGTGTTCTATAGTTAAAATATCATGTAAAAATAAAATAAAAGTGAAGTGTATCTAATTGAGCTTGCTGACACATATTTGGTAATCTGCCTTAATAAAACGTTATGTGCGACAATGCAGCAGGAAGGCGTTATCATGTTTTACCAGTCCAAAAAAAATAATGCAATACAAAATTAACCCGCCGATACTGAGGATAGAAGCATGTTAGCAAAGAAATAAGACTAATTGCTGAAAGCCTTGCATACTATAAAATAATATGTTCAATATCTGTAGGTAACTATTGTATTTCATTATTAATTATTTAATTGCTACAAGTGTCCTATTAACAAAAATACAAATTTTTTTTACATGTACACTTATGTGTTATGTATGTGCAATAGATAGATGCATATGTATATATATCACATAAGCATATACCATACACATACATATGTACTGTACATATAAATTAAAACCTTAAATGATTTTGCCATTCTTACAATTATTTGTATATTTTAGTTTTGCAAGATTGCATACATTGTAGAGCCAAAAACCTTGTAAGCTGACATTTTTTGGAAAGGCTATGCTTTTTTACACCAGGGAGGGTATAATAATATGATAACGAAAAAAAAAATACTTGCTCTTACCCATGATTCCATTATATATATAATAATTCCATTATATTATATATATAATAAGGTTGTGTCGGTAGCCCAAAAACAATAATTAGTCAAAAGTGTTTTAATTCGTAATGTCAAAATCTGCCATTCAAAATAAAATTTTAAAAGATCTTAACCAATGAAAAATGTGTGTTTGAGTGATAACTGAATACAAATAGATTGTTAAACACACAAAATCATCAAAATGTGAAAAGAAAATTATTATTAATATATAATTATTTATTAACAAAAAAACAGTTTCTTTGACATTATGGACCGTAAGAGAAAGCACGCTGCGTAGTAACACAACCTTATTGCATACCTCATTTCCATTCTAACACAACTTTATATAATAGTGAAGCTCATTGTGATCTTTCCTTATATTTTTTAAAGTACAATCGGAGTCAGGTTTTTTTATATTCTGTAGAAATAACTACATATGAGTCTGTCTATGAATACTCGTAAACATTCCTTACATGAAGCAGGTAACTTGTTGTCTCTACATCTCTCTTCAAAAGCGAATGATATTCTATACAATATAGCTCTTATCTCTATTTGAAAATGATCGTTTTTGCATGATTTTATGGAATGTGCTTTACTTTAGAAACGGCTGCCTTTGTTTGTTTACATATTTCTACTTATGGACTACGTATGTAAAAAGCTGATTGACAGAATATGATATGTGTTACCTTAATAAGCGAATCTTTGAATTGCTTAGGTTGTGTTAAATCGAAAAAGCAGATCTTAAAACTTGTTTAAAAACATTTCTAGTTAGATACCAATTACATACAATGTATCAGCATTGAATATTCATCTCGTCCAGAAGGAATCAAACGAAATAATATGTACGAGTATATACTCATAAATATAATATAATAATGATATCCCCCATTATTAGTTAAAAATAAAAACTCGACTACATTCATACAAAGTAAAAGAGTAGTTATCGTAAAGTAATAAAAAAAGGTAAACAAAAACACAGATAAATCAACAAAAGCAACAAATGCAGACAACGGTGTGATTGTCACCGGTATTATTTAGTCTGTTAATCTCTTTGCTGCGCTAATAATTCAATGAAATTTAAGTAGACATAAGTATGTATTGCTTCTGCTTACAAATGTACCTTTATATTTATGTAGAGTGTATGCATATCTCGACGTATAGTAGACACAAGCTCCAGACCATTGGAATGTCTAAGGGCTTAACACTTGACATGAGCTCGTCACAGAAAGTTTTCTTACTCCTTTGTCAGTGTTTGTGTTGTAGCGTATTTATATTTTCAATTTTGGTTGCACGCTCTTTTAGTTCATATTTTTTGTTCGTATACTATATACATACACACTTGTATGTTATACCTATATTACTAGTATATATATACATATATATTTGTATAGTGTCGGTGGTTGTTGTTTAGAGTTAGCTGGATTGTATTTACAGGGCACAAGGTATGGCGCAGGCCCACGTATTTCTTTTTATGCATGTGTGTACGCATTTAATTTTTGAACAGAGTAATCTACTTTTAGTAGGTGCATAAAAAGTAACTTATGCTGCGACGCGAGCATTAAAATTCCTTAGGCTGATTTTATCACGAATAGAACCATTCTACAATCTATTTCCTAACAATATCTGTTTTGTTTTGTGGATCTAAAGCTACTTAGTCCAGCTATTTACTTAAAGTCCACACAATATACCTTAAATCATGTGAAATATTCTGTTATTAAAATGTACGTTACTGTTTATTTTGTTCAAACCACATCTGCACACTACAAAAAGGTTCGTTATTTGGTGGTTGTCGCCTAGGTTATTGAAAAGAGGGAGTAGTATCTCGAGGAATTATTGTTGTTGTAGCGATATAGTTTTACCGAGTTGACAGTCCTTGGCGGGATAAAAATCTGAGTCCGTTCCGGTTACTCAGACCCACCGGTCGGGAGTCGTGAATGTATAGGTAATACATGGACAGATGTGGGTAGTTTACTTATTTATATACATACATACATGTAAAGCAGTGTACAGTACAAGCAATCTAATTTGAGCCTACAAGTTCATTGTATCTTGCACAAATCTTTTCTTGGAATAAACTTTTTATTCAGTTGTATTTTATTGAGTTACCTGCGACATAATGTCATCTTCGGCCTCTGTACAGGGGCGGCTCTGATTATCCCAAGGAAATTCAAGTTTTTAAGTTGATTCGACAAATATTTTCGGAGATATGACCGAATTTGTATGATTTATGATAATTTAGTGTAATCGGCTCCTAAAACTTAAAAGTGTTTTACTCGATACGCTGTTTGCAGAGTCGGTAAGGAAATTTTCTCCGAAGCGACTGGACTGAGCTTGAAATTTTCACATGGCTTTCTAAGATATATTTGTCAGGTAATGATCGAAGGAAAAATATTTTGACAATACATTTTTTTCACAAAAAAAAACGATATTTTGTACAGGATATATTAGGTTTGCCACGAAATTTGTAACACCTTGAAGGAAACGTCGAAGTCCATATAAAAAATATATTTAAATTATCAGCATGACAAGTTGGGTCGATTTAGCCGTCTCTCTGTCCGTATATACGCGAACTAGTCCCCTAATTTTTGGGATATCGATATGAAGTTTTGCACACGTCATTTGTCGGAATCGCTGATATCGGACCATTATAGCATGTAGCTGTATTACAAACAAAACGATCAAAATCAAGCTCTTGCATGAAAAACATTTTATTTGACAAGATATCTTCAGGGAATTAAGAATAGATTATTTTTAAAAGCAACATTACAATCTTCGGACCACTATAGAATAAAGCTGCCATGCAAATTGATCGATCAAACTCAAGGAAAAAACAGAAAACTTGTTTATTTGACAAAGTGCATTCATTAAAATTTGTACAAATATTGCCTAAGATAGCGTTATAATCTTTGAACAAATTGTAAAGATCGGATCACTGCAGCATATAGGTGCCATACAAACTGACCGATTCAACTCAAGATAGAGATCATTTATACCCTTTTATCCTATAAAAAATGCACCTGTGAAGGGTATTATAGCTTCGGTGCAGCCGAAGTTAACGTTTTTCTGTTTTTTTTTTCAACGTTTTACGACACAAAAGCAACACAATGTGTGGTTCTCTATTGCCCTTTACCATTTTACCATTGTAAATGATATAAAAACGTCAATGGATGGATGAGAAGAGACTGGGTTATGGTTAGTAAAATCGAACCAAAGTGATTTCCTGCATAAATGAATTGATGTGATGAGATTAAGCTGCTTGAGACTGCAGGAGAAGAAAAAGAAAACAGAATGAAAGATAATAAAAAATCCACGCCCACCGCGGACATTGTGATGTTTAGAAAGCAGCACGACCGGTTAGAGTTCATTGAAAAGTGCAACACACTGTGGCGGGTGAAGAATATTGACGCCGTCTGCAACGTTCGATAGCATTACAATGGCCAGACGCAGTTCATAGAGGAATCAATATAGAACGAAAACATAGAGTCACGCAGACGGGCGGGAGGTAGACACTGTAATTTGACTGCGGTCGGTTATTGTGGTGTGAAAATGTACGACGCGCTGCTATAACAACAATGTAACACAGCTCAATGCCGCCAAACAGTGCGTAAGAAAGAGTAGAAGAAGATGTGTAGAATGAAGCAAAGCGGTATGCGGCGATTAGTGGTCGAAATGCAATTTGCGAAAATTTTCTCAAACTTTTGACGTAAAACAATTTTATAACTTAAAAGTTTCGGTTAGACAAGAAATGAAAACGGAAAGAATATGAAATGCAGTCGCAGGCAGCAATCATAGAAATAGTTATAAGGAAGAATGCTGCAACCAAGGGTTGCGAAGAATCGTTTGCATTATTGTGTGATGGCGCAAACGGAACTTGAAAATTTTCAAATAATGTATATATGTAATGTATGTATGTGTGTGGGTGGTAAGCATCAATTCGAGCGTAAAAACTGCTCAATTTTTCGACTTTTAATGGTGCAAAGTGATAGATTATCATTCATTGCATGGAATATTAAGTTGCTGTGAGATTTATCACTGCGAGTTCTTACTTAGTTTGGATAAATTGCGCTAAAATAGTAGCAATTAATTGCTCCTTTACTAACCATCGAAGTTGTTGGATATGTTACAAAAGTGCTTACTGAATTCTTAACTGGGAATTACAATTGCATTTTACGGATGAGTAGTTGATTAACTCTAAACTGCAAATTGTGCTGATTGGTTGCATACTTGTAAAACTTACTCGGGATAATCTATATTTAGGATCCGAATAGCTGTTTGAAGTTTGATTTATTTTGATCGATCAGTTTGTACGGCAGCTATATGCTATAGTTGTCCGATATCGTCGATTCTGACAAATGTGCAGCTTCCTGAGGAGAGAATGACGTGTGCAAAATTTCAGATCAATATGTAATCGATCGATTGTAACTAATAAGTTTGAATATTTGCATATTCAGTATCAAGTGCAGAGAGATATTGCTCGGCATAAGTACATAGACTAGTTTATGGTTGTGCATTCGATGAAGGCTGTTGAAGAAAAGTAGTTAGCTTCGTCATAAATATTTCAAGCGTAGGTACGTTTATTAATTTCTTCTACACTATGGAAAACCGTCTTCTACATATGATATTGACGC